TATAGTATAAATAAATAAATATATATATATAGTATATAAAAATGAGAGACAATGGTAATAGTAATAATAATTGATATCGATTAACGGAGCGGATAAAGAGAAACGAAGGAATTGTATGGAAGGAGAGTAAGTGAGTGAGCACAAGAGTGAAAGAAATAGAGAGAAAGGTAAATGAGAATGCATGTGTGTATGAAAATAAAAAAGAAAGAGAGCGCGATGTTTAAGTTAGGTGATTGTTTGTCTATCGTATTCACGAAGGCATACGTTAGGTAGCCTCGATGCTATTTAAACAGACTTAATTAATGTATTGCAAATGAATTAATAAAGTGTAAGCGAAGCGTGTATCTATATAGTGCGACTTTTTCTTTTCTGACAACTTCAATAAAATTCTTAATGAACAGTTAAGACCTCCTGGCATGTAAAAAGATGTATTAAGATATACAATATATAAGATATACAATAGGCTGAACCTCTTTCCATAAAAAAAACTTTATCGGAATGCTTTTGCAAATCTTATAGATATATTCTTATATCGACCTGAATATCGGTAGAAATTTTATTAAACTTTCTTAATTTACATCTTTAGATATTTTCGTCTATAAATTAAAATCATGTCGAAGAGAGATTGCCATAGTTTTCTAAAAATGATATTGAATTATTGTAATATTTTATTTTTCTAGATTTACTTGATTCCTAATAAATTACTACACATGCAAATTCAGAAGACACTAATATATTAGTAACAATTAATATTATATACAGGTTTACTATCTGAAGAAAACTTGGAAAATCGGAAACTTTTAACAAATTTCTTTTTTACTCTTGAAAAAAAAAATTAAAGATTTTCATGGAATTGTTTCTATATTTCAGAAAAATTTTTTAAATTTTAATTCTATCTATTTTTGAAAACATTTCTTTGTTCATTTTTTCTTGGTAATGCAAAATATCGATAATTGATTATAGTGCAATAAGTATAATATACACATCCGTCTATATTCACATGTACATACATGTACGTTCTCGTGAGTTTTTTTCACCGTGCGAAACGCGTGCAAAATTCGAATTTGCCACCGCGGCGCAAGCGTGATGCCGATCGGTCGATCGTGCCGATTATGCAGCGAAGCTAACTTCAGAGTGGATTATGCGACGGCAAACCGGGCAAACACAGGCAAACGGCCAAAACGGCGACAAGGACGTCGGAGACTAGACGCTCGACTTCGACTTTCGTTCGCGACGGTGAATTACGTGTACAGGTGTACGCAAGTAACAAGGTACGGTATTTGATCGCCGCATGGCTCGTGCCGGCGAGAGGGGATCGGTTACGTACCCGTTAATCAATTGCCCCACGGAGCGGCTCATCATTCGAGACGACTCGGTATTACCCACGTGAACACCTCGCTCATCATGCGATGACGGTTTTCAACTACCTTTGTGGAACTGCTAGTGAGTATGATAATTCACAGATCACATGTGCCGATCAAGTATTCGCTAAATGATTCCTCGTGCAATTTTATTGTATTTCATATCGTTTGTTGCACTCAGTTATACATTGAGATAGTGACAAGAGATACGATTAGAAGAATAGAGATTGGAAAGTTTGGGACAAGCATCGTAGATCGAGTTTTTCTGTTGAACTTTTCATTATATCTCGTTTTTGTCCTCTTTTTTGCTAGCAGAAAAACTGAAATGTATACAAACTTAAATGTACTATGTCGTTTCAAGTGCGGAAAGTGCAGCCTAATGTCATCGTTTATTTCACACAACACAATGTGTGCTTTCTATTTCGTAACACAAGTGTCGTTCTATCTTTGTTACTTACCGGATATCACGAAAGATAGGATGATATTGTGTTGACCTGTGTCACTTAATGAAAAGCACTCGATAATTTTTTCACGCTCACGATATTACGATAATAATATCGACATAACCTTTCCGAAAAAGAATGACTATAAAGAATATTTAGTACTGACGTGAACATTTAAATGCTATTTACTATACACATATAATGGAAGAAAGAGCACATTCTTATGAAATTTTAATGACAGCCCTCGATTCTTGTAATTAAATCTGTTCGCGTTACTTGAAATTCCCAAAAATGTTTACACTTAAAATGAAATAAATTATATATATTCAGACGTTGAAAAGAAAGAAAGCAAATATGCTAAATACAAAAAAAAACAAGCAACAGACCTACTGTTTTTATCGCATGATTAAGCAATTCATATTTTGATATTAAATCAAAGACAATTGTAAAAACACTATCATATCATATGTATATTTAATATAATTACGGTAACCATATTTTCTTAAAGAAAATAAAAGACAAATTTGAA